CATCATCCTGCTCGTCATCCTTGCTCACTATCTTCCTCCCCCGCATGGTCCCCCAAGAGTTCCCACATTGGCTGGGAAAGCAAATCGTCCAACGGCTTGGCCAGACGTGAGCCCGACGTCTGGACCCACAGGCGCTTCCCAAAGGCCAGGGTCGGCGGTGGTTCGCCGTAGGCGTCTTCGAAAATGCGGAGGGGCAGGAGGAAGAGGAGGAGGAGGAGGAGGAGGAGGAGGAGGATTTTTTTTACATGCGCCGCTCCCTGACAACACCAGAGGTCAGCGGGGGGCCAGGCCTGAACCTGACCAGACCTGGACCCCCCGACCGTGCCGACGATGCAGTCAAGGTAGACGTAGTACGCGTACCACGCCGACGAGCGGGAGAGGAAAAGCTCCACGCTCGCGAGCACGAGGATCCGCCCGAGCGACTCCTCGAGCACCAGGAACACGAGGAACCGCACCAGCGACTCCTCGAGCATCAGGAGGAGCGATGCCCGATCTGCGCGAGGACCCGCGCCGCGACCACCCGAACGTCCTCCCCCGGGTGCCTCTCCTCCAACGGTGCGAGCCGCCACGCCACGCCGCCCGCAGCCGCCGCCGCACCAGCAGCAGCAGACACAGGCTCGCAGGGCGCAGCAGGCGCCGCCGGAGCACCAGCCCGCGCGTCGGCGCCGCCCGAGGGGACAGCGCCGGGTGCCGAGCGCCGCAGGCCGTCGGCCCAGGCGTCGTCGGCCACGGAGTCGTCGTCGGCGTCCGCGTCGCCAGCAGCCCCCGCCACCTGGACGAGCGCGAGGCCCGTGCCAGCAGAGCCAGCCGCCGCACCCGCGGCCGCCACGTCGACCTCCGTCGTCTCCACCACGACGGCAGCAGGAGCGCCCGCCGCCGCTTTCCTCGCCGCGCGGCGCTGGCGGCGCCGCCTCCGCCGCGCGGCACGCGCCGCGGGCTCGGCGACCGCAGCACCAGCAGGGCCAGGGCGAGGAACTTCAGGATGAGCAGGGGGTGGAATGCCACCAGCGGCAGCGTCGCGAGGCGGCGGCACGGCTTCCTCGGCGCGCTGAGCGAACAGCGCGGCCGAGACGGCCGACCTTGCCACCGCCGCGACAGTGCGGCGCGGGGCGCCCCCCAGGACAGCGCCGCGCACGGCCGCCTCCACCAGCGCGGCGGCGGCGGCGGGCAGCGCGCGAGCCCCTCTAGGCCACGCCATCCCACGAGGAGGAAGAGCAGGAGGAGGAGGACGAAGAGGAGGAGCAGGAGCAGGAGGAGGAGAGGACGAGGAGGAGGAGGAGGAGAAGGAGGAGAAGGAGGAGAAGGAGGAGGAGGAGGAGGGAGGAGGAGGAAGAGGAGGAGGAGGAAAGAGAGAGAGAGACACGCCCGCGGACGCGGGTCGCCGCCTCGGCGGCCGCCGCGCCGAGCGCCCGCGGGTCGCAGGCACTCAGCACCATCTCGTCGCCCAGCGCCATGCGGAGGACGAACGCGTGAGGCAATCTGAGGGTGCCCCCAACTCCTGAGATGCCGACGTCGAGCGCGACGCCGAAGAGGAAGACGTTGAGGGGGAGGACGGCCCCTCCACGGGACATTATCGCCCTCCCCCCGCCGCTCGGGAGCCGGGCCCGCGCGCAGCTCCCCGAACGACTCCACGTCCTCCACCGGGGCCCGGTGGCCACGGCGTGATGGCCGCGCCAGGCGCGAGCTCCAGGCCGTCGAGGTCGACGAGGAAGTGCGTCGCGCGGCGGCCCTCGCCGAAGAGGACGAGCAGCTGGCCGTCCTCGGGCTCGATGCTGGCGATCGTGGCCACCCGCCCATCGGGAAGGCGGACGCGGTCGCCCTCGGCCGCTGCCAGGACCGCCGCCGCCGCGGCTCCGCCAGGCACCGCCGCCACCGCGGCCGCTGCGCCAGGCTCCGCCGCCGCCGCAGGGCGCGCCACTTCCTTAGCCCCCTTCATGGGGCCGTCTGCCCATTCGTCGTCGAAATCGTCATCGTCCACGAGCATCTCGACGGGCGCGGCCGAGACGGCCACCGCGGCCTCGGCGGCCGGAGCGGGCCCAGGGCCCGCGCCAGCAGCAGCGGCAGCAGCAGCAGGGGGAAGGGCCACGAGCTCCGAGCCCGCGCCCGTCCCCGTCCCAGCAGCACCTGTGGGCGCACGCCGCCGCGCCGCCAGGCGCTGGCGGCGGCGTCGCCGCCTCTCCACGCGCGCCGCGGAGGCGGCGCGCGGGCCAGCAGCGTGTTCTCCAGGCGCACCAGCAGCAGGCACCTCGCCAGCCGTGGCCCCAGGCTCCTGCGTCTCCGCGCCCGCGAACAGGGCGGCGGAGATGGCGGAGCGGGCCACGGCGGCGACGGTGCGCCGTGGGGCGCGCGCGAGGACCGCGGCGCGTACGGCCGCCTCCACCAAGGAGGAGCCGAGGGCGGCCGCGGAAGCCCCTCTAGGCCGAGCCATCGCGCGCGGGCGGGAGGCGGCGGCCATGCGATCGCTTGAGCCAAAATGAGAGGAGGAGGAGGAGGAGGAGAAGGAGGAGGAGGAGAAGGAGGAGAAGGAGGAGGGGGAGGAGCAGGAGGAGCAGGGGGAGGAGCATGAGGAGCAGGAGGAGGTGGAGGAAGACGAGGAGGAGGAGCAGGAAAAGGTGGAGGAGGAGGAGCAGCAGCAGCAGCAGGACACCCAAAAGAACATATCCAGCCGCCGCTCCTCTGGCATCCCCCTCCAGGAGCGCGCACACCGTGATCAGGTGAGGGAGAGCACCTCACAGTGCGCGCGGAGAGGCGATCCTGCACGCCACTTGCGTGCACCCTGGTGGAAGGACGGGGAGGCTGTGGCGGGGCGGAGGGTAGAAGTGCTCGAAAATGCGGAGGGCGAGGACGAGGAGGAGCAGGAGGATGACCAAAGAAGAACATCCGGCTGCTGCGCCTCCAGGAGCGCGCATGCCGTGACGAGGGAAGAGGGTGCCTCGCAGTGCACGCGGAGAGGCGATCCTGCACACCACCTGCGTGCACCCTGGTGGAAGGAGGAGGGAAAAGGCTGTTTGGGGGGCGGAGGGTAGGAGTACACGTGCAGATGGCAAGAGGGAGGAGCGCCTGGGTGGGCCTCGGACAGGTTCTGGAGCTGGCCGGCGCCGGTGAACCAGGGGTGGCAGAAGCAACCTTCCAGTCGAAGCCGCTCCGAGGGGTTCACCTTCAAGAGCCCGCGGACCAGGTCCTCGGCGAGGAAGGACGGGCCAGAAGGAGAGGAGGAGCAGCAAGAATAGCACCAGGCGGCAGGGGAATGCCAGGGAGGAGAGGGAGAGCGAACGAGCGTTCGAGGTCTGGGCAGCTGGGTTCTCCCGTGGGGCACCTCCCAGATCTTCTCGGAGGCTTCAGGCGCAGCTGGCGAGAACGAGGAGGACGAGGAGGAGGCGAAGGACTCGGAGGAAGCGAGGGGGGAGGGGGCGGGGAGGGACAGAGGAAGATCCGGAAGAGGTGCGGGAGGAGGCCGAGGAGAAGGAGGACACGTGGAGGCGGAGGAGGCGGTGGAGGACCAGGCTGCGGGGAGGAGAACAAGCAGAGGCCCCGAGGACGGGGGCAAGAGGGAGAAGAGGACGTCGAGTATAGCCTTAAGTCGGGCCTGTCCCCCTACAGGGGGATTTTCGACGACAAATCTAAAAAATACACCAAAAATAATAAAAAATAGTCCAAGAATAGTCTGGGGACTATTTGTTGAATATTTGTTGACCTTTTTGGGACCATTTTTGGGGTATCTTTTATTTTTCGTCGAAAGTCCACCTGTAGGGGGACACGCCCGACATAAGTATAGCCGTTGCGCACGTCAGGCTCGGTGAGATTGCCCCCTCCGCTGCCCCATCCTCGCTTCCAGGACGCAGCGCGAGTGCTGGCGCGACGGTCGCCCCACCGGGCCCCCCCGTTGCCTCGAGCGAACGGAACAACAGAGGAAGCAGAAAGAGAGAGAGAGAGAGACAGAGAGACAGAGAGACAGACAGAGAGAGACAGAGAGACAGAGAGACAGAGAGAGAGAGAGAGACAGAGAGACAGAGAGACAGAAAGAGAGAGAGACAGAGAGACAGAGAGAGAGAGAGAGAGACAGAGAGAGAGAGAGACAGAGACAGAGAGAGAGAGAGAGAAAGACAGAGAGAAAGAGAGACAGAAAGAGAGATCCGCCACCGTGCCTGCACGGAGAGGGCGTGTTAGAATGCTCGCTTGCTGCCTGGGAGGCTTTTGTTTTTGTTGTGGGGGGGTGCAAAAATCTAGGGGCACCCCCCCCCCTCCCCACGCGCGTGGTTCGAACATCGCCCTCTCTGAAATTGCTTTCTGGCGGTCTTTTCGGCCTCCGGGCGGCCAAGATGGCCTCCGAGACGGCTTCCAAGACAACCAAGACGACAACAGAGCTGCTCAATGCTGCCCAAGACAGCTCGAGAGCCTCCCATGACGGCCTCAAGACGGCCCAGGAGGCCCCCAAGAGGGCCTCGAGACGGGCCAAGAGGCCTCCAAGACAGCCCAAAAAGCTCGCAGCGGCCTTTCTGAGCCAAAGGAAGGATGGGGAGGGGCGGCGAAACCATTGATTGTCCTAAGGTGTCTGAGAGAGGTTGAGATTCTCGCCTGTTCGGGTCTCCGACCGCCCAAGACGGCCAAAGAGGCCTCTCAGATGCCTTCAATACAGCTCCAAGACAGCCCAGGAGGCTTCCAAGAGGGCCCCGAGTCGGCTCAAGAGGACACAAAGATCGTCCAAGGGGCCCCCAAGATGGCCTCACGACGGTGCTGAGGCGCTCACGGAGAACAGCCAGACGGCCCAGAGAGGCCCCTTGGGCTGGCCGGAGCGGTCGGAAACCCAACCATACCAGAACCTCAACATCCTTCAAACACCTAAGGGCAATCAATGGTTTGGGCCGCCTTTGGGAGATTTGTTGGGCTGTCTTGGGGGGCCTTCTTGTCAAGGCAGCCAAGATGACACCAAGATGGCCCAAGATGGCCCAAGACGGCTCAAGAGACTCCCAAGACAGCCTCAAAACAGACCAAGAAGTTCCCAAGACGGCCCAAGAGGGCTCTAAGAGGCCCTCCTGGAGAGCCCGAGGAGGCCAAAACCATTGAGTTTCCTTTGGTGGTTGACCGGTTTTGAGGTTCTGGCATGGTCGGGTTCCGGGCCGCCCAAGACGACACAAGAAGCCTGCAAGAGGCCCCAACGAACGGTAGCACCAAAACAGCAGAACAGACCCTCAAAGAGGGACTCAAGTCGACCCAAAAGGGCCCAAAGATCGCCCAAGTGGCCCAGCAGAGGACCTAAAGACGGCCGTGAACCACTCCAGGAGGGCAGCAATGCGGGCTGGAGAGACCCTCAAGGCGGTCCCCATAGGCGTCAGAATGGCCAAGAGTCCCCTAAGACGACCTACGACAAGTGGCACGCGTGCCCTGGCTCTTGCACATTTGAGAAGAGAAGGAAGAGGAGGGGCATGTGGGGGGCGAGAGGGCCAGGGGATGGGGGGCCAGAGCCAGGGGGACGAAACCACGAAATGAAAGGGTCCGGGGAGAGGAGGGCTGGGGCCAAGGCCAGGGTCGGGGCGAGTGGGGGTCCAGGGCCGGGGAAGGGGGACTGAAGCTCGGACCAGGGGCCAGAGGTCAGAGTTCGAACCACGAAAATACACGGTCCGGGGCGAGGAGGGCTGGGGCGAGTGGAGCCAAGGCCAGGAAACAATTTTTGGTCTGCGGGCAAAAGCGAACCTCTTCCGCTAAAAGCTAGGCGGGCTACGCACAGCTTTATTTAGGGAGACAGGGCACAGGAAGGCGGGGCCTCAGGCGGCAAGGCCAGGAAACAAGCTGAGTTCAGAAATGGCCAAAGGGCTGGGGCTCGGACCAGAGGCCAGAGGTCCGGGCTGGGGGGGGCGAGGGGGGGCGGGCCACAGCCAGGGGGACGGGGGCGAGGAAGCGGGCCACAGCCAGGGGGACGACGACAAACCACGAACCACGAAAATAAAAGGGCCGGGGCGAGGGGTCTGGGGCCAGGGCCAGGGGGCGCCAGGACCAGAGGGACGACGACGAATGAAAAAAAAGTCCAGGGCGAGGGGGACTGGGGCCAGGGCCATGGGGGGGGAGGCTGGGTCCAGAGCCAGGGCCACCGGGGCGAGGGGGGCTGGGGCCGGGACCAGGGGGGGAGGTTGGGTCCAGGGCCAGGACCGGACCAGGGGCCAGGGACGACGACGAACGAACGAAAATAAAGAGGTCCGAGCTCTAGAGCACAGCTGTGCAAGATAATTAAGAGGCCCGAAGAGGCCCCCAAGAGGCCCCATGAGGACCCCAAGCGGCCCCCCAAGAAGCTTTCGGGAAGCTCCCAGGGGGCCCCCAGGAGACCCCAAGAAAGCCCCAATAAGCCTGGTCCTCCTTATCTCACTTCATCTGTTTCTCCTCCTCCTCCTCCTCCTCCTCCTCCTCCTCCTCCTCCTCCTCCTCCTCCTCCTCCTCCCTACCGCGCGGACGAAGACGAGGTCGGGATTACGACCCGTCCCAATCACAGCTTCAGCATGCGACCCACGTCCGATATGTTACATGTGACGGCTTCCGCGTCTGACCCACGCCCGACATGTCATATGTGACCGCGTCCGCGCATGACCCACGCCCGACATGTCACATGTGACGGCTTCCGCGTGTGACCAACATCCGACATTTCACATGTGAGGGCTTGCACGTGTGGCCCACGCCCGACATGTCACGTGTGACGGCTTCTGCGCGTGACAAACTTTCGACATGCTACATATGGTGGTTTCCGCGTGTGACCCCTGTTCGTCGGAATTGCGGCGTTCCTATACTCAGTCTCCTTCCTGCAATGCTGTTGCACAGGCACGGTGGCGGGGTTTACCCCAGACAGTGTGGATATATTAAAAGAAGAGAGAGTGTGTGTGTGTGTGTGTTCAAAACGACAAAGCAGCAACAACAACCGACAAGCCACCAAAGAGTACAATACGGAGACAGAGAAAGGGACAGAGAACGAGACACAGAGAGAGCGAGAGGGATAAACGCAAACGCGTGCATATGCATAGACAAAACGAGGTCACAGATGATACATTGAAATATGTGATATGATGGCGGAGACACAGCGAGGAGGAGAGAGAGGGATAGGAAAAACCAAACGAGAGATCGAGAGCGACAGAGAGACAGAGAAGGATAAAAAGAGAGATACAGAGAGAGAGAGATGCAGAGATGGAGAGATAGCGAGAGGCACAAACAAACAGACAGGCAGACCGACAGACAGGCAGACAGGCTGACAGAAACAGAGACAGAGACAGCGAGAGAGAGAGAGAGAGAATTGAGAGAGAGACAAAGAGGGAGAGAAAGAGAGAGAGAGAGAGGAAGAGAAAGAGAGAGAGAGAGGGAGAGATAGAGAAAGCGAGAGACAGGGAGGGAGAGAGAGATAGAGAGAGAGAGAGAGAGAAAGAGAGAGAGAGAGAAAGATATGGAGAGAGAGGGAAAGAGAGGGAGAGAGATGGGCCCATAACAGCTTAAGGCTCCAATCTGGCCCAATGGGGCGACAAGAAGCTCCCAAGAGGCGCCCCAAGAGACTCCCCAGACGGCCTAGAGGGGGCCACGATTGCCCCAAGGAGGCCCAAGAGGGTTCCAAGACCACCCGGGAGGTTCCCACGAGTGCCCGAAAGGAATGGAGACGAGACGTGCCACATGTGATGGCCTTCTGGGTGGTGCTCAAAAACGTCGGCACACTGAGTCTCACTGAGTGCTGCGCTGGCACGGCGGCGGGACTTGCCACAGGAAGGGGGCAGCCCCCTATAAGCACAACCTGTGTGACGGGAGGGAATGCCGGGTTGAGCGGGGGAGACGACATGCAAGCTTCCCCGACGGGGCCGTCGGTGGAGCTCAATGAGGGGCACGATCCGTGTGATGAGTGAGCCGGCATGGGCGGGGAGACGCTTCGCGAGCTCTCGCACTGGGGACGGTGGTTGCGCTCCCAACGGGGCACGATCAGTGCGGCGCGGCAGCGGTTGGCAGCAATTGCAACAACGCAGCATGGAGCAGGCAGCGCAGCAGCAGCAGCAGCGGCAGGGAGGCCAGAAGACAGCGGGAGGCGGGAAGGGTGGGAGTGGAAGGCACGTGGCAAAGCGGATCCAAAACGAGGGCCAACTCTATAGGCGCGCTGGGGAAAGCAAGACGAGCTGCAAACGTGACGCCCAGGGAACGATGCGTCGCAAAGAATGGCCATGGTGGGCCCCTTGGACTTCCCAGAGCCGCGGACCTTGGCCTCGTCGGAGATCCCGCGCTTCCCCATGTTGACGGAGGCCCTCTGGACCTGCGCACGGGAGTGCGCGCTCCGAGTGGGCGGCGCTTGGGGAAGTGAGCGCAAGGAGCGCCAGTTTGGACGTCCGAAATGGGTACGGAAAGAATGGGTACAATGCCCAACAACAACTGTTGTCCCAAACCAACAGCGGCCGCTGTTGGGTAGGCGGCCTTCTGTTTCAAATGGACACAGGACGCGGCGGCGCGGACAGCGAGTCCTGTTCAAAATGAACAGGAACTGCTGTTGAGCATTGTACCCATTCTTTCCGTGCCCATCCCGTTCGTGCAGAGCCAGGGCTTCGGACCGATCGAGGCCCCCGGGTCCAGCCAAAACGAAGACAGTGCCCCCCCAGGCGTGGGCTCTCCGTGATCCCGAGAGAGGACGGAGCTGGGCCGGCAGTTTCGCCAACGCCACGCCCACCTGCTCCTGCAACGACAACTTGTGGCCGTCGAAGGGGTACTTCCCGCAGAGCATCACGAACAGCACAACACCCAGGCTCCAGAGGTCGGCCGCCTGGCTGTAGCTGCCGCCGCACGCCTGAACATCCCTGACCTCGGGGGCCCAGTACTGGGGCGTTCCCGCGACAGTCTTGGCCAGGGAGGCGCCCTCGGCAATTACCTTGGAGAGGCCAAAGTCGGCAATCTTGACATCCAGTAGGCTACTGTCGCCGCGGTGAACCATGAGGATGTTCTCTGGCTTGAGGTCACGGTGGAACCGCGCCGGCCCCCATGCTGGCTCGCACGGCGTGCGAGGCTCGGTCCTCCCGAACGAAGCAGATGCACGAAGAGGAGGGGGGGGGACGGGGAGGGGTCGGCCGGGGTGGTGGGGGGGACACGCAGGCTCCCAAGACGGCCTGCACATGCCAAAGTCATTGGGAAACCGCTGGGCACATGATCGTCTCCGCTGCGGTGCCGTCTCGGTCCATGACAGCGCTGCAGTGGCCCACGATGATCTTAAAGCGGCCCCGAGACGGACCAATACTCGCCGTCGCACGGACGTTCATTCCCCGTGCAACATACACACATACACACATACACACATACACATACACATACACACACACGCACGCACGCACGCACGCACGCACACGCACACACACACACACACACACACACACACACACACAACAAAAAGTTCCACCACTTGGTTCGCCGAATCGCATCCGAACACAAGGACGGACACAAAACGTAATGCAAACGCACTCGGCGAGCACAGGAAGAAACGCTCGAGAGAGCGAAACCATGCAATTGCATCGAAAATATGCTCCAAGGCGAGCCTAATGCGGCCCCCGAACGGCCAGGAAATTGTCCAAAAAGGCCAAGGAAGGACCAAGGACGCTTCCAATAACTCGAGATTAGGCCTGGATCCTCCTTCTCCTCCTCCTCCTCCTCCTCCTCCTCCTCCTCCTCCTCCTAGTCCTGGCTCGGAGATTCCGCATGAGGCGGGCTCAATGCGTCTATTGCCGAGCTCTCGCAAAAACAGGCAGTGCTTAAACAGCAGAGGCTCGGGCTGCAAGATAAGTTTTGCCATACAGGGAAAAAGAAAGAGAGAGAGAGAGGAGTGGGAAGGAGGGAAGGAAAGAACGGCATTGACAACAGCATCCCCGCACATCGCTAGTTTTAGATCGTCGTTCTCCTCCTGCTCCGCCTCCTGCTTCCCTCATCACAGAACCAAGGACAGGTCATTCCCGGACAAGGACATGGCGAGAACAAGCCCACTACCTGAGCTCAGCAACTGAGCCCGACACCTGCTGGGGGACTCTAGCCAGCGTTTGTTCTTGTTGACGTTCAGAGGCCCAGTGTGCCCGTTGATTGTCCTTTGGCCAACATTGAGAAATCGCCCAACCACCCCAGGGTACTCTTTTCTAATGTATCCTGCCGCCTCGCGCCTCCCACCCACCCACCCAGTATTCAACACTTGCGCCGACTCTCAAGAGGTCCGGTGAATGCGGCACCAGCCTCTTGAATCACGCCCCTAGTGTGCATGTAGCTCACGCCCTCAAGAAGCTGGCGGAAGACGTACCTGGCCTCTGGCTCGCTCAGGCTCTTCTTCTGCACGATCTGCTGGAAGAGCTCGCCGCCCCAGACACGCTCCATGACCAGGAAATAGCAGCTCCCAGTGCTATAGACCCGGTGGAGATTCACTATTCTCGAGTGGTGGAGGTGCTGGAGGATGTCTACCTCCCTGTTCAGCTTGGCCAGGTGGCTGTCCAGGTCGCCCAGCAGCGCCAGGCGCTGCAAGTCGACGACCTTCACGGCGAACTCCTCTCCAGTGCGCAGACGTCTGCAGGCAAACACCCGCCCCGTGGCGCCGTTGCCGAGCTCGACCCCTACCTCGTGCCGATCGTCCTCCGGCCCGAACTCCATCCCTGGCGGTGAGATTCCCGCGAGCGGAGCAAGCACATTGGATTCACAGGGCGGCCTAGCATGAGGTCTGGCGTGTCCTCCTACATCCGGATTTTGGATGAACAAATAATCAACACATGCTCAGGCATTGTTAAAAATAGTCGGCAAATCATCCCAAGATCATGCCTTTTACTGTTTTGAATGTTTCTTTCCTCCTGTAGAGGGATACGCCCGATTTCAACCAAGCATGCGAAAAGGCGGGTGTTCACACAGATTCCCACACTGACTCCCCATACAGTGGAGGCCAGTCCGAAAGAAACCAAACCCTGAGATACGCCTTCCGTAGCAAAACCATCGAAACCCAAGAAACCCAGAGGACACTGGGGACAAGCTGGGTGTTTCTTGGCATGGGCCTCCGCTGTAAGCCTAGCATGCGAGAAAGGCGGGTGTTCACACATATTCCCACACTGACTCCCCAGATCGAACGGCCGACGACGGAGACTTCTTTCCCGCCGAGCACGGCCTGGCGCTTCCGAACCTCTCGCCGCCCCATCCACGCTCACCTCTCCCTGGAACAGGAGCAGTGGGGGAGAAGGGAGAGAGAGAGAGAGGAGGAAAAAAACAAAAGGAATCACATGTGTCCTCCCCCTCCACTTCCTCCTCCTCCTCCTCCTCCTCCTCCTCCTCCTCCTCCTCCTCCTCCTCCTCATGCTCGCCATGCTCAACCCGCTCCTGCCCCTCCTGCTCCTCCTGCTCCGCATCCTCCTCCTCGTCCGGCTGCTCAACATCCTCGTCGTCCTCGTCGTCACCGTCTTCAGGGTCGGCGGCACCGGCCGTAAGGCCACGCAATAGGAGCAGTGGGGGGAGGAGGGAGAGAGAAAGATATACATATATATATAGAGAGAGAGAGAGAGAGAGAGAAAAAAAAAAAAAAAAAAAAAAAACAAAAAAACAATGACGGCAACTTGGCCCGCATGGCTCCAAGCGGGCAACCATGTACGACCGAAAAAAACGTTGAGACCTGGAAGAAGCAGTGGCAAGCCAATGGCAAACAATGGGCGAGGAGGAGGGAATGAGCAGACCGAGAAGGAGGAATGGGAGGAGGGCGTGGGAGCACAGGGAGGAGGAGGAGGAGGAGGAGGAGGAGGAGGAGGAGGAGGAGGAGGGGGAGGAAGAGGAAGAGGGAGGAAGAGAGGAAGGCAGGCCCTTGTCGAGAACTGCAGTGGGGCACCCGTTCCTGGAGCAGCCCCTGTGGATGTCTCCCGCCTCATCTTCCCGATTCCTCACGTGAGAAGCCCTCCCTCTGACTCCCCCGTGCCTCCCGAAGCTGCGAGGGCCCCGCCCCAGAGACACTCGCTGGCCGTTCCACGAAACAGGCACCCTTGGAAACATGCGCCTGCCGTTCCCCATCCCCCGCACTCCCAAACCCCACGCCCTCCCAACTTCCGACTTCGTTCCGCTCTCCCCTCCTCTCCGTTCCCCCACCCCAGACCACGTCCTCCCGGCGCCATTCCGATGCCCACTCCAGCCCCTACCCCATCCCCTCCCCTCCCGCTCCCTCCATGTCCCCTCCGTTCTCAGCTCTCCACTCCCGTTCTTTCCCCCTTCCTTCCTCCCTTTCCGCCCCCGCTCCCTTCATTCTGCCCCTCCCCCCCCGTCACCCACCGCTCCCCTCCCCCATCGCCCTCCCCCCCCCCGCCCCGCCCTTCACCACCCCCCTCCCCGTGCCCCTGGCCCCCTCCCACCGTGCGTACCCTTCCTCCCCTCCCCCCACCTAACCAAACCTCCCTTCCACTACCTCCTCCTCCTCCCCTTCCTCCTCCTCCTCCCCTCCTCCTCTCCTCCTCCTCCTCCCCCTCCTCCTCCTCCTCCTCCTCCTCCTCCTCCTCCTCCTCCTCCTCCCCTTTGCTAATCCAACCACCATTTTCTCCTATCCGGACCCCCCTTTTTCTCCTCCTCCCTCCTCCTCCTCCTCCTCCTTCCTCCCCCTCCCTCCTCCTCATCCTCCTCCGCCCTCCTCCACCTCCTCCTCCTCCTCCTCCCTCCCTCCTCCTCCTCCTCCTCCTCCTCCTCCTCCTCTTCCTCCTCGCCTCCTCCTCCTCCTCCTCCCTCCTCCTCCTCTTCCTCCTCCTCCTCCCCCTCTCCTCTCCGCTCCTCCTACTCCTCCTCCTCCGTCCTCCTCCGCCTCCCGGGAGAGCCCCCTCCTCCCCCCTCAGCCTCCTCCTCCTCCTCCTATCTCCTCCTCCTCCTCCTCCTCCTCCTCCTCCTCCTCCTCCCATCAGCATCATCATCATCGACAGTGTCATCGCCATCAACATCAACCTCACAATCAGTATCATCGTCGTCAGCAGCATCGTCAGCTCAGCATCGTCATCAACATCAGCATCCTCACCATCAATCACCATCGTCAGCATCTGCATCATCACTATCATCATCGCCATCATCATCATCATCATCATCATCATCATCATCATCATCATCATCATCATCATCATCATCGTC